CAGTGTCCACAGCCGTGCAGTGTTCGCAGCCCAGAAACATCATCTCCCGGTCTTGGTGGTGTAATGGAAAAAGCGCATCGCGCACATCGCATTGCTGTTTTGCCGGTGCACTTATCCGCTTCAAGCTTTCTGGCAATGCTGCTGTTGGCGATGGTTCTCTACACATTTTGTCTTCCTCCTCGCCCATACCAATGGACACGAATCCGCAGACAAACTCCACTTTGATCCAGCTCCTGACATTCCAATAGGTCAACACATTATCATAAAGCGGTACGCTACGAACTAAGTACTTCTGTGGTGAAATGCTCCCATTGTCATGGTGCAGCGGATCGTTCGACTGACGTCATCGGTCTGCGATTTCGCCGCGACCGCGGAAAGCCCGAGAGGCCTACCTCGGCTCCGCGACGGATTCCGCCGCAAAAAGCGGCCGCCGCCCGCTCGGACAGGACGGCGCGAGTCCGCTGCTTGGGTCCCACTGCTCGCCTCGGTGACCTTTGACTTACCCCTGATCCTTCGACCGCGTCGGGCACACTGACCCACTGCCCAGTTATTGTCACACCGTTGCCAGGCGACGGAGTTGCGTCAGTCCAGCCAAGGTCTCGCGGTCATTGTTCGGTTTGCCGACGCCAGATGACGTCAACACCCCGTGCAAAGCTGCTTTGTTCGGCAGAGCGCGTGTGGCAGCGACAAGATGACGGTGGGTTATCACCAAAAAGCGCTCCGACCAGAACGACATATCCCGCCGTTGTTGAGGAGCATAAACACGGCCTCTGATGCTACAACATGTCGTTGCTGGGCTATGCCAAGTGTTTCGCCGCGTAAAGGGTTGTTCATGTTCCAGAGCGATCTAGCGATGAGATACCACAGCGCCAGGCGAGAACGTTTGTGGAGTAATGTAGCATGCGTTTGACCTGGGAATAGTAAACCGCTGTTCAACTGTCGACAATTGATGCGTGTTCTTCGTTTAAGCGTGCGTGGATCCAAAGTATGCAGGAATCCAGAGGATCCTGCAACAGCATTTTCAGATTGTCATTTGTCCTAAAAAATCATGAGCAAAAATTGCAAAAAATCCGGGATTGAAAGGGTTTTTGTGTAAAAGGTTTAATAATATGTTGCATAGCAGTAGCCTTTCAGTGGCGCTCATTGCTGAAAATGTCAAAGGATCTCATCTGTTCAGTCTCACAGGTGTCTCAGATAGTTTAGAAGTGAGTCCAGGACCCTGAGAAAAAGATTTTAGAGGATACCAAAAGCTTCGGGGGCTCAATAGAACGACACGTGTCAATAACTCATCTCGGGCTTCCTGCTGCTGAGAGGAACAGCGGCTTTGAGCTAAGATGCCAATCGTCGAGCATCGCTGGTGTAGGCCCCATATCACCGGCTGCACCCAGGGGCGAATCCAGAGGAGGGGAGGAGGGGCGGGGACATGAGGTCATATCCCCTTGAGCCCTAAAAAGGCCAAAGCTGGCTGAAAAGATGAAGTTTTAACCCAAAACGCAACAAAATTGAACGTTTTTGGGCTTGCAGACAACCAAAAACAGTCTCAAGCGAGCGTGAAGGCCCCACAAGTAAACAAAAATATTTTTTAATCGATTGAGGGTGTTCTTACTTCTTTTGTTCTTAAGAAGTACGGTTCCCGCTCTTATTTCCTTCATAATGCTGGGATATCTTGCACTCCTTTACATCAGCCACCAACCATTAGCTGATCACATCGAACAGCCGGCTAGCCGTAAATAAGCTAACAGTCAACGTCGTGCTTGATTTTTATGGTATTTGGTAGCCAACTTAAGTTTACTTTGTTTTATCAGAAATACTTCGCCTTAACATGACAGAATTCCCCGTGATCTGGAAAAAATGAATATGCTCCAAGCATATGCATATGTGGCACGCCTAGCTTTCTAAAGCTGCGCACTATAAGATGGGCTACCTTATTTACCATATATATATATATATATATATATATATATATATATATATATATATATATAAGTTATACACTATTTATTCTAAAATTAGATGGCCGGAATCGATGATTTTTGGAGGGGATCCCAAAACATGGGGGGGAGCCCGCAATGTTGCGTCCTAGATCCACCCCTGGTTACACCTCAGTTTTTGTGTTCTGATCTGTGAGCAGGCGAACGATAAAACGCTTTTAATAGTTAGTTAATTGTGCATTGTGCTAGATGAAGACAACAAAGGTATGCACAGATATATTTCGCATCTGACCATCCCAGTACTAAATTTGCTGATGTTACATTATGTGGATTGAGATCTTGTCAGGAAGTGCGAGCTCTGCGCCAGCAATGATTAAGCGAAGATAGCGAAGGTCGTCAACGGTTCCAGCTGATTGTAGAATGACGTCACAAAGCCAAAAGTGATATTGTTTGCAGGTGCCTGTAGACCCATGTTATCGGTAAATGTAGGGCTATAGGGATGCAGTTTTGTACAAAAAAACGTGGGGTTGGGGGAGTGGGTACAGGAAAACAAGATGGCTGAGCCTGCCTCCGAAATGCACTGCAAACTGTTCTCCGCCAGATCTGACGCGCTTTCTTTTCAGAGCTAGGAGCGGAGACGAAGTGGCTCAAAATTTGTTTTAGGGGCTAACCCCTAAAAATGATGATAAATGAAAACCAATGAATAAAAACCGTGAATACAAATAGGAACGACATCTTTGGTTAGGAGGCACAATCTCCCCCTCCCAATTTAACAGAAAACTACACGCCTCTTAGCTGTTAATGTCAGGTTTGGCTCCGCATTTGAAAGCTGATTGTTTTATTAGCCTAATCTCAACCATTGTTCAGTGTCTGATGGCCAGAAAATGATGCCTCAGTGCAAATAAACTCCCGAAACGAAAACGTTTGATGGCTCCGCCGTATTGCATTCAGCTGTCTTTGTTTTGAGACTTATCGCATTTAGAAGTATTTTCCAGCGGCTTCTGACGGACTTGGCTTCAGGTGATAATTAAGGCGTTTCCAAATTTTGTGGATGACAGAAAAGGTACTTTTCACCCCTGGACCTAACACCCTAGCATCCGATATACGGTACTACATTAAGAGCTAGCAAAGCAGCCCTTATAGTTAAAAGATGCGTAGCTGTTAGTTCGTCAGTTTAGGTAATAGAACCAACTGGCGACCAGTGGCCTTGCTTACGTTCGATTGAGTATCAAGCGACGTTCTCAGTTTTGATGTACGATGGAAATAATGCGGGTCATTGTCGCTCCTCGTGTGCAAACTAAACAAATCACAAACGAAACGCATCCATCTTGCTATATGCCATGACCAAAAACCACAATATGCTCTTCCACTCGCCATCTACAGAAGCCATCACACCGAACACCGAATAGTGCCGCACGACCACAACGGATTCCACGCGCCAATGCTCCTGCACCCAGCCGGCGAGCGACCGAACACATCGTCACCTCCGCTGCCGCCGTGTCACGACACCCCGCCGCCCGCACGTGGCCCACAGGGGCTGCCCGGCGTCTGAGGACGTCAACACCAGGCTCGCCGCACCGCCGTCTGGCCGGGCGGCGCGCCGACCGACGCTGCAGGCGCCGAGGCGGCGCGCCGCTTCGCGTCCAGCTCAACCAGCAGCCGGAAGAAGCCCTGGTTGGGCTGCGCGGCCGGCCAACAGCTGCTGACACGCTCGCAGGCCGACATCAGGCTGAGCCCCTCCGATGCCATCATGTACTGCAGCACGACGGCCGGCGCGCGCGAGCGGCCGGCGGCGCTGTGCACGAGCACGCTGCCGGCGCGGCGCCTGTGTGCGTCGATGAAGCGGTTGATCTGCGGCAGGAACGGGCGCAGGTCCTCGTCGACGTCGTCACGCGCGCTGATGCGCAGCTGCTGGCGGTGGTGGGTCTGGTGGCGCGGGCAGACGCAGGGGCAGGCCGACGCCGGCCGCTCAGGCCGCGACTCGCTCAGCTCCACCACAGCCACGACGGCCAGCCGACACAGCAGCCACTGGTTGTGTGCCGCTGCCGCCGTGCCCACGTACAGGTGATCGAGCACCTGCGCCACGTCGGCCGCGTACGCCGCCGGCACGGCGGCCGGCCGCGCAGCCAGCAGCCGCGTGTCGGAGGCGTGGCGCGTCAGCTGCCTTCGCGGCGGACCGCGCCAGCTCCGGACTCGGCGGCGCCAGCTTCAGCGTCAGCTCCGGTGCCGCCGCCGCCGCCGCTTCGGCCGGCACGTGGAGCTGCAGGTCGGCCGGAGAGCGGCCGATCTGCAGCTCCACGTGCTTCAGCGCCAGCTCCGGTGCCGCCGCCGCCGGTTCGGCCGGCTACGTGGAGCTGCACGTCGGCCTGGGGAGCGGCCGCGCTCGTCGGGCGCCGGCTGCGGGCTGCGCGCCGAGCGCGTCGAGGGTCGGCGCAGGTGGCGCCCGTGCCCGGCTGACAGGTCGCCGGCGGGCAGCGCCAGGTCCGAGAGCTTGCGCTGATCCCGCCGCGTCATCTGGGGGTCGGTGCCGTGGATGGTGCCGCGCCGCGAGCCGCGCCGGGAGACGTCGCTGTCCACGCTGGCGAGGCGGCACAACGGTCAAGAGTGAGGGCGAGAGGTCGAGGCGTAACACACACGGCAACCTGAGACAGGCCGTCACCGTCTGTCGCATGTTAAATCGACCACACGCGCCTGCATTCGTGATGTCAATTTCCAAAAGGATCCAACTGCAAGATGTTGGCATGACCAACATCTGATAAGAAATGCAAGGAAACGGATGCGTTACGTTCCCTTACAATAAAATGCACAGTTAGAAACATAAGACAGGTGACAAACTTCAGTGTGGGGACTTTTGCTTGGTTCTGAAACTAGCGATTGAAACGGGGCACATTCTGTCATTCACGACGTGTTACACTGTGGTCGACACGAGCCACGGTACCTGCGACGGCAAAGTCTCATCGCGGACAGCAGCACCTGTGGATTGGGATCATCCTTCATGTGCTGAAGAAGTGGGGGATGTGCTCCAATACCTGAGGTTGGCGGACCAGATGCCGGATGAACCTTGGAAGCTGGGTGGGCTAATGCCGCTAGACCTTCGCTTGGTTACCTCCCACTCGGACCTGGGTCTCTGGTTCTGGAACAGTTGGCATGCTGTCAGACAAACCTTTTAGTGTGAGCAGGTATTTTGAGCTCTCTGGAACTGCGTATACCACAGGCAATGGCTGAGACAAGGTGTTCGGGCTTTTCAGCTCTGCACATGTTACGACATAATGCTCTAAGGGTTCTGCAATGCGTTTTTTAAATGCTGTGCTTTTCACCTCTACGCCGTGCAACCGCAGTGTAAGCATTTTTTCACCTAAGTGAGCTTGAATTTCAGTGCAGATATAATGTTCCGAAACATTGACGTGACAATGATCTTGAAGTGAGCGAGAGTTTGGACATGCCTAACTTCTTCTGAACTATGGATAAGGCTATTGCCAGACTTGATGCAGATGGGATCCGCGGCTGCAACTGTCTGAGGCCGGAGTACTTTCCTGCCAGCGAGGTGACGCAGAAAGTCGTGCACGTTGTTGTACGCCATTATTCTGCTTGTACATACGCTCTGGAGACGATTTGAAATTGTGCAGGGGCTGCACAGATCATACGGGGCGCTCAAACAAAGCTTGCTGCTAAAATTGCATCCTCCGAATAGGCCAGCGTATTTACTTCCACCGGTGGTCGTGACGTTGATGACCTCAACATTTATGCATGCATGCGTCGATAAATTGTCCGAAAAACATCCGTTATTCTTATGATCCTAATCCCACATTTGGTCCGTGTCGGGACACTCGCATAGTCCGCAGGCTGGTGCTGTACTCGGTCCGTGTCGGGACACTCACCTGGACGGCGGGCTGGTGCTGTACTCGGTCCGTGTCGGGACACTCGCACAGCCTGCAGGCTGGTGCTGTACTCGGTCCGTGTCGGGACACTCACCTGGTCGGCGGGCTGATACTGTACTCGGTCCGTGTCGGGACACTCACCTGGTCGGCGGGCTGATGCTGTACTCGGTCCGACACTCACCTGGTCGGCGGGCTGGTGCTGTACTCGGTCCGACACTCACCTGGTCGGCGGGCTGGTGCTGTACTCGGTCCGACACTCACCTGGTCGGTGGGCTGATGCCGTGCGGCCCGCTCAAGGTCGGGGCAGGACACGGAGCCCGCGCTGCCGCTGCCACGGCCCCGCTCCATGTCGCCGGGCCAAACAGGGGAGAGCCGGGTCGCCCCGCTGTGGGACACTGCCTGCGGGCAGCATAGACGGGTGGTGGTTTGCGTGCTGATGGCGAATGATGGTGCAACTGGTGATCGCAAGTCATACATTTGATCCATGAAATCATTAGTTTTTCTCGAGCTCATTTGCTAGGTTATCACCGGCCTTCACGCTTTGAAGCTGATGAGCAAACGTAAAGCTTAATAAGGTATACTTGCCGTCAGCGGTTCTAAACCAATCAAATTGTAAGACAGTGTATGCCTGCAGATTGGGCCCATCATGTGCGAAGTGCCGGCGTGGAAAGTTAATACGTTTTCTCCTGGTGTGTTTCGGATATGTGTTTCAACAAAGCATTGTCTCCTTTGGTCTTAGGATGTAAATGTGTTTTTATAAAATTAGACTTCAGCATTGGCCATGGGGAAACCGATGCATGACAGTATTTGTGGCGTTGCGACATGAATTTGTATTGTATTTGACATCCCGACACCTCCACTACAGTATGGTAGTTATTTTTGTGTTGGTCGCTATGAATATGATCAAAATCCATCCCGCTGGGTGTAATCGTACACCTGGTTTTCTATATGACCTGGTGTGCTTATGCACTCTCGTAGTTTGTATAAAGTGTCTCGTGATGTTCAGTGGTATTCGGAGAAAAAGACGTGACCCATTCACAGCAAATTCTGACATGTTACCTGCATCGCCCCGTATTCGTTTGCTGACGGCGAAGACTCCCGCTGCTGCTCGTGGTTCTCCTCCTCCAACGACGTTCTGCAACAAGCCAACTCTTGGCCATTAATGTCAGCGCTCGGCGGCAGTTGTGGCAGTTCAAAACACTCAAACGCTCGCTTTCCATCTGAAGCCGAGTTTACGCTCAAACGTTCGCTCTCCATCTGAAGCGGGGCTCGCGCTAAAGCCCGCGCAATCCATCTGAAGCGGAGTTCAAGCTCAAACCCTCGCTCTCCATCTGAAGCGGGGATCGCGCAAAAACCCGCGCACTCCATCTGAAGCGGAGTTTACGCTCAAACCCTCGCTCTTCATCTCAAGCGGGGCTCGCGCTAAAGCCCACGCACTCCATCTGAAGCGGAGGTCAAGCTCAAACCCTCGCTCTTCATCTGAAGCGGGGTTTACGCCCCGAGCGCATGTTAAAGAGTGGGGTTCATACACGGATTTGAAACGAAAAGCAAACAAACACAAAAAGTTTAGTACAAAATTTCGCACGACGCCTGCAAAAACACAAGGTCCGATGCCAAAAGGCATTGATATTTTTCAGAGTTGACATTTTGCCTGCCGGTATTTCATTCGAACAGCGATTCGGGACTTAACAAGAAGTCTCATATGGCGGAGATATCTAACAAAAAGTATCGAATGACGGAGATATCTGGGGATTGCGTGACTGGATAATATCTGTATCGTGCCCGAGACTGCTCTTATTGTAATTGCTAGTAGACATCCATTTTAATTCGCACATAACACAATCGGCAGCTTTAAGTGAGAGCAAACCAGTTTGAACTAGATAGGCAGATAGCACGCGGTAACAGTTCAAGCAGCGTTACACCCGCGAGGTGACGGAGCCCGCGAACGCTGCACTTGAATATCAAACGCTGGCTTCTTGCCCACAAGTTGGGCAACCACTTATCAATAAGTAGCTGGTCAGCCCCATGGTGCAGCCTAGAATGGGGCTTCATTACCCGTTCCGACCCGTCTGGCTGGCGAAGTGGTCGAACCGACCGCTGCCTGAGTAGTGGCCGGTGGCCGACGCATTCGCCGCGAGGGCGCACAGGTCCGGCTCGAGTTCGCGGCAGGGAAGCCACACCGGTCGCACAACAGGCTGTCGCCAATCGTCATATGCTGACCACTCATATACCGTGTTGTAACATTGCAAGCAGTAGGCCATAAGAACGTCAGCCAAGCAGAGGAGCAATTCAATCACACTCAAACGGACTAACAATCCACGAAGGATCGTCGATTGGGGGCTGCGATATGCTACTTTGTTTTCACGAATAACTGCGCCGATAGGCTTTTAAAAGGTTCTGAAATGCTTTTTTTATTTGTTGCAACAGGATATTTCTCTAATTTGTTGCGTAGTTTAGCACCTTTAAAAGCAAATGATCGTTTTCACGAGATTCCATTGAAGTTTAATAGCCAACATACTTTAAACAAACTCAGTATAAGTTTATTGTCTATTTGGGTTGCATTCTTCATGATCTGGTGAGACCTTCAAAATGATATCTTTGCTTATCTTATACGACGTCTGGAAGTTGGAGATCCCAGGGGAGGTGAATTCCCCCCCCCCCCCCTCTGCCGAGCCGGGCGCCATTGTCTCAGACCCCGGCCGGGCGCGAGTTAACGGAGCCCTACATCATAAATTTATCCTCAAAGTACATAAAGCTGCACAACGCTGTCCTCAGAATTCAAGCAGGAGCACACCTGATCAGATTCGTGTCACTGCGGGGCATGGTCTCGTACATATGAACATGGAAAACCAAAAATTTTGATCTCCAAGAAAATTTAACCCTGGACATTTGTTTACTAAGGAACATACCACTTCTCACCAGTCGCGACATCTAGTTGAGACCTTTCATTCGTACGGCTCTCTCCACCTTAGTTTTGAAGCGGTATGGGGAGGGTTGCATCGACCCCCCCCCCCCCTTCCGATCAGGCTGCATCATGAAAAGCGGCAAATCAAGGAAAGGGCTACTAAATGAGCCAAGACCAAACATAATGGTTGGTTATGAAAAACGACGAATCAAGGCGAGACCTAATGAATGAGCCATGACCAAGCATCACGTTTGGCGTGCTCATTATGCGGTTGATATGTTCACTCCCGTAGGCTTATTGGCATTAGGCTTATTGGATACCAAAATCAAAGGAGATGTCTAAAGAAATCTAGCAGACATCATTCGATGAAAAAATAGGCTGGCATTGTATGCACGTACATAAAACCTGCAGAAGCCCCAATCTTCAGCATCTGACACTAATTACATGGTATTCATAGACTAAAAATGGTCTGGCTTCGAACCTTCCAAGAGATTCAACATCATCATTAGCTGGGGCTTAACTGGATGTGATGGGCAAAAGAACATGATCGGCTTTGTAGGATTCCCCGATGGCACTAACTACACATGAACGATTTGACCACTTTCAGCAATTGTGTTGGCCAAAGATCAACGTCAGGCTTCTTGAGTGAATCCTGATAGAAAGTAGCCAGGATTGATATTCACATAGTTTTGAACATCAATTTTGGCAGATTGATATTCACAATTATGTGACGTACAGCAGGGTGGTAATTAATTTCACACTGGAACGCAGCTGTCTTTTTACCAACTGCTTTCACAAAATACATCATGCGTGCGTGCGTGGGTGCGCGTGTGTGTAACTAGACACGCAGACTTGCATTAAGCGAGCACAATCAGATGTCCATGGTATAGGCTTCTTTCAAAATCATCAGTTTGTGTGTGGTTTTGTACTAGAGCAGCTGTTGAACTGAATAACCCTAAGCAATCCATCAAACACTGAATGATGGATGTGACTAATCTACGAAAATCATCAGACAGAGATATACTTAACATAACTTGCCCTACTGGTGTGTAGTTTCCTATCCAGTGGGATGATTGCGCCTCCTTATCGGGGGTGTAGTGTCCTATTTTTAGTTATCATTTTTCATTCATAATTTTCACCATTTATCATCTTTTTTAGGGTTCAGCCAGCCCTCGAAATTAAATTTGGGAAACCACGCCGCTGCTCCCAACTATCAGAATAACGGTCGCCACATCTGGAGAGAAAACTATTTTAACTGCATTTTGGAGGCAGGCTAAGACATTCCT